AAATGAACACCCACCCTCACTTATACATCAGTCTATTTCTTACTCTCATAAATCGAATGTGAATAGCTCTCATGGCATTTCTCTCTGACTGAAAAATAAGGTGCCATGCTTACTCCATGCAAAGCCCCTGTTTTACAGTTTTATGGCCCTCACTAAAAATAGATAAATCTGCATCTGTGCGTGTCCTCTAATAAACCTCCCTCATGCCACCTGACTTCTTGCAGAAGGTGTATATGCTTTTGATTGACCAATAAGAGGCAACTTGGTGAGTTATAGAGATTGACTGGGTGCTTGACATGTGGTGCTGCTCCATTAAAACAGTGGACAATTGGAACTGGGGAGGTTTAGGAGAATTTAAGTTGTCTTTACTGTTATTAGATGTGCTCTTAGATGTGATAATATTCTAATATTCTATTAACAAAAATATAAAAATGCAACTTCAGTTCACATTATAATAGGTTTTCTCATACTGCTTTTGTGGTCCAGATGTAAAACATAACAATAATAGTATGTCATTCTATAATCATTTTCTAATGTTACCAGGTAGTTTTTGTAGACAGAGCCAGATAAGCATATTGCTCATTATTTAAGCACAAAGTACATTTTTTTCAGTAATTCTTGCCTAAGTAACTTTTAGGAGATGATGGTTGAATGGTCCTTCTCCTCACCTCACCACACCAAGATAGGTTGGTATGTGTTTTTGTATTTCTTTTCTTTCACTTTTTAAAGAATCCTATAGAAAATAACAGTATTGTTTCTATTAAAAAAAAAAAAACTTGATAATTTATATTTCATTTTATTTCTGAAAAATAGCCACATTTTTACATACCCCAAATAAATCTCCATGTGTAACTATGTACAAAAAATAATTCAATGTGGCTGAAAACTATCTCACTTATTGTACTATAATGTGTGAATAATAATAATAATAATTGTAAAACCCTTGAAATCACATTTTCTTATAATACTATTAGTCTATAGGTAACACTTACAGTACAGTATATTCAATTGGTACTTCGTGAAATGAATTCTTGAGATCCTTAGTAAGGCACTACACAAAGCACTATTATTAAAGAATTAGAGGGGAAATTTTCCCAATTGAAAATTGATAATTAAAGGTATTTAAAATATGTATATTGCAGAGCAGATAAGAAGCTCAATGTAGCAATATATTTCTATTTTGATTTCAAATTAAGTTTTCATTACACAAAAACAAATTGGCTCAAAACTAGATGATACATTTAAAAAAATTTAAAATAGCCAAAATCATGTTGAAATATGTTATATGGATAATTTATCAATAAAAATTATTACTGTTAAAAATTGGTAGAATTCTTTCCTCCCTGTGATAATGATTTAAGTTGAATGGGAATTTAGTAACATACAGGGATGCATCTTAATATCCATATTTGCTCAACAGTGGTAAACACACAATTAAAATTTGTCCTCATTAAAATGGACTTTTGTACACTATGATTTGAATTAAGTAATGAATATATAAAGTATTTAAAGAGTTGTATATCAAAATGTATAACATTCCATTTTTGGCTATATTTTGTAAAACATTTTTGGTGTAATCAGTATGACTCTCACATATGTCAAATTAAGTATTCTACTATTTATTTAAGCGGATATATACCTAATGTATTTGAAAGCTTATTGCACTCATATAATTGTATATATTGTGGCTTCAAAAGTCTGTACTTATTCTTGCTTTAAAAAAGTAGTATGTGCATTTCTTTCCAATTTATTTTAATTAATTATATTAAGGATAACATTCTTTACTAAATGTACCTTAAAATTCACAATAAAGTTTCAGAAATTGTTTTGTACAGTGTTGAGACTTCGTGTTGAATTTGTTCGTGAACATTTTTTGAAATTTTGCTCTGGTCTTCTAATAAGGATTTCCTGACCTTAATCTTACTGATAAAATGATGAGTGAAAACACGTGAAATAGCTATAGCCCTTGTGTAAATAGGAGATCGTTCTCCTAAGTGATGAATTGCTCACACATGAGGAACCTTAGGCTAAAGTCACGGACTGGCTAAAGGTCACAGACTGGGCTTCCCCCCTCACTCTCCCAACCCCTAGGTACTCATTATGTCCACTTCTCAGCATCGGAATGTCAAGCAGTTTGCACTTTAACTGAGTATTCTAGACTGCAGAGAAGCAGTTACAAGGAGATGACGTGGAGAAAATATATGCAGGTCTGTTAAACCCTTTTGTGCTTAATTTACAAATGTATTTAAGACATTTAATAGTAAAAGTTTGCAATACATTCCTTTTGGCATACTATTGAAAAAAGATAAAGCTAGACTCTCAAATATAGTAAATATAAATATACAGACTTGGTTTAGGTTTTTTCACCAGAGGATCAATTCACTTATTTTGCTAAGAAAATTTAGATTTCTGGGTTGAGCACAAACCATGTACCATCATGAGTCACCACAGTATTTAATACCACCTTATGAAACCTGCTGGGATACAACCACCTGGCTATTACCACAGAGAAACACATGTACCTCTACGCTGCTGTGTAGGGATGCATTTACTTTAGCTATGTGTTTTATGTTTTGATTCCCTACAATAGAAGTGGGAAATTCAATTACATTTAAATAGCAAATAACTCTCCCAATTTGTAGATTATTTTATTTATATACTAATTAAAAACAAACAAGCAAAAAATCAATGATGCCATTTAAACCTCCCAGGATCTTTCATTTGAAAAGGGTCCCATTTTGCAAGGATATTCATTGAAAGAGCAGAGGTGAAAAATTACTAATCCTATATGTAGAATGCATGTTCCAAAATTGGTTTTAGTCTTAAAGTTATATTTATTTTAACCCAAGGTATTTAGCCCATTCTGCCCTATTTGCTAGTTCTGTTTTTGCCAGTGGTTTTTCATAAAGAAAGGAATTTACTGAGGTCCATTTGGTAAATCTAGTTGAATGAAAATACCGTCAGCTTTTTTTGAGGTTCTGATGGTGCACACAAAACAGAGCATATTTTCATGTTCCACCCATAAATAAAAATATTTTGCATAATGAAATAGTGAAATGTGAAGATAAACAAGAACTGAGCAAGTGGCTTGTTGGTATCTTAGTTAAATGTTTAAAAGTTCAAGATAAATGCTTTTCTATAAAAAAAAGAAGTGATTTCAAATAATATTTTCTCCTTTGATTAGTTCCCTGAAATTGGTTCCTATTTTAATGGTTTCCAGCAGTTCTATTCATTCCTTTATTCTTTAGTATTTTTTCAAGAGCTGTAATTCCTTACAAAGATTTTGCACACATTTTTATTTACAAGTAGTACATATTTTGTCAATACACATTGATACATTATCCACATAATGTTCATCACTTAATTTCACTTCAAAGATGTATTTTGCTTTTAAATTGGATATTAATATTCTGATACACATTGGTTAAATATGTGTTACTGGTCATTTCAGAAGCAAGTGATTTTTAAGTGAGAAGACTAGAGTGCAGGGGAAGGAAAAAAATACGACTAACCAACAGCATGTTTTTATAAACAATACAACTAATTTAGTTTATCCTCAATTTAATTATCTGTTCACTAGAAATGTAGTGCTTAATCTTAGAGATGTAGTTATATATGATATATGTTCATATATTTATACACCCAGATATAAATACATTATAATATATATGCACTTAGATATAGAATATATTTTATAAATAAGCTCAGATAGATTGAAAATGATTGAAGCACAAATTCTTCTATACTGAAAAAACTTAAAATTTATGTTGTTTATTAAATATTATCAGTTTAGTTATCTTTTATACAGTCAGATTTTAAGGCATGTTAATGTGATGATTACTTTTGATGTTATTTGGATAATGTATCACATTGCTGTTTTAAATTTTTGAATAGAAATAGCTTTTGAAATTAACATTAATCGGTATTCTTAATAACCTAACTATCATAAGCAGAGGTCATTATTTCTCTTATAGCCACTTTTGCTGTTTAAGCATTTCTTAAAGCACAACCACCAACATTTAGTTTTTGAAAATATGAGAGTAACTGTTTATTCGTATGAACATATAAATAAATTCAAAATTATCAAGTTGGTTTAAATGAGTCATTATTTTAGCTTTTTTATATCACATTAAAATACTATGACTGTCCCCTCAAAAGGGTAATTCCACACTTTATTTATGTAATGAGCTTTTATAGATTACCTAGATTATAGTATGTGTGTTTTGTTAAGTGGATCATTAGCATATTCATGATTTGATGTTTCACATGCCACACTTAGCAGCCATCCTAACAGGTTTTTAAGGTGACTGTTTGTTTGTTTTGGTGGAAGAAAGGATAAAATTAGAAGTCGTGTATGCCAAGTGGGATTTAATAAAATGCCACAAATTCAAAAAAAACCTGGCAGAATTTCTGGTACACAGTAGGTGCTTAATAAATACTTTTTGAATAAATGAGAGGAGACCCCTTAGGATTTGTTTCTTCTTAAAATATGTATCAGCAATAATAATTTACACTTTTATTTCCAAATAAAATTGTAGATAGTCCTTGTTATAGTTTAAGATGCATACTAAGGTCAATTTTAGCATTTTATTTCATTTATTTTTCCCCTTGACATATTTGCAAGATAGAACAAAGTGTGTTCCCTATAATGGAAAAAATAGCACCTCATATTTGTGCTTTTTGTCTAAAAAAATCTGTACATGATATTTTAAATAAATGTATTATCCCTATAGTTCATAAAAATCATTGAACAACTATATTCAGTTTGCTATTTTTAGTGTAAATATATATTTAATAAAATTATGTTTTATTTTTAAAATATCAAAAATAATAAATACTGGAAAATCTATGTTGTTTTGTTGACAACCATGTGTTACTTTCTTTGCATTATTAGTTCATGTCTTATATAGAATTGTAAGAGTTTTAATATTAATTCATTTATAAATCATCAATATTGATACATTTAAGAGGATTTTAAAAATATATGTGTTAAATACATGCATGTAATATTGTGCCTCTTGGCAATTACTTATTTTAATCATTTTGGAAATATACAATAGCCTTAAGCATATAAATGGTTATTGATATAACAGAAATTTATTTGCTGCTTTAAATATTTCATTTAAAGATTGTCAGTTCTATAAGGCTTTATGTTTTGGACTCCTTTGAGTATCAGTTAAAAGCTATAGGCCTGCTCCAGAAAAATTCCTATACCTGCATATATATAATTTTTAAAATTGCCAATCAAAGTTCCCACAGACTTCATGGAGCCCATCTATAAAATCTTCCTGGAGCCTGTGGCCCTGAGTAACAACCAAATAAAACGTTATTGGACTCTCAATGCAACTCTTAATAAATATGCTTTGAAAATAGCTTGGAGTATTTCAAATGAAAAGAATTTAATATTCTTTTACCAGCACTAGCTATTTTTTTTTTTTAAATGAACTTTCTTTGGAATCAGTTCCTTGTGTAATAATGGCTAAAACCTTGAAACAGTTTAGCTTCTTTATCTTGTACAATATAAAAATGAGATAAAGACATACATTTTGCCATAGGAATGAACACATTGATCACATTAATGAAATGCTTTTTATTGAATATATAATGGAGGCTATTACCAGACATGCAAATATGCAGCCAGATAGAGCTAGCCAAACAGAATGTGGCAGTTTTAAATTTAAGCCCCTTTTGATGTATGCAGTCCACATTATTTGTTAAATTTGATTTTTTAAAATATATTTTGTCCATTGTCCTTTCACTACTATAAATTGCACAGATAATCCCTATGGAGGGACAAGATAAAGGTATTTTTTCCTGTTCAACTTCTCGTTTCCAACCTAGACTTTGCCTAACATTCTCTTTCTTCTTACAAATAAACTAGTAAAAACAGTACATTTCTTTTTTGCCTATAGCCATATTTCATAATTTCACATGAAATAGTGTTTGAAAATGTGCACATTTTATTTCTATCCCCATTTCTGTGAAAATTAAAGCTTGGTATTTAAGCACTTTTCAAGGTCACAAGAGCTCCTATTTGGCTTAGGTAGGATTTTGGGTTTTTTGGTAATCTAACACTCATCCCAAGAATCAGGACTGATTTGAAAAAGAGACAAAAATATTCATTTAAAAGACAATGAATGAAACATTTACATAATCGTACATTAAAATGCACTTGCCCAGTATTCATTTTTGGAACATGTACAAAACTTTGTTATTTATCTATAATATTTAATAGTATTTGTCATTTATGCAGAGATGCTTTTCTCCATACATTTACACTGTAAGTAGTTTTCTCTAACTCATGATCAAAGACATTTCGAACTTGATGAATTAGTATGTTTTTGTTGTTTTGTTTTGCCGTGTATTTTCTGTCAGAATTGTGAGCTGGGAGAAGTTTCTGTCATGACTCAGGAGTAAAACATCCTGGATGGAATTTATAATCAATACACATTTATGTTCATATTCCAAGTAGCATTCTCTATCAGTCCGTTTCTTTAGGATGCGTTTCTTTTTTCCTCTCAATTACAATTCCTCGTTAGTTTTCGGCTAATTTATATCTCTATTAGAGCTACTATACCTAGTACTGGTTTTGCACCAAATACATTCCACATATTCTTTTTTGTGGATTATTTTTATCCTTCAAAACAGCTCTATTAGGTAAATGTTATTTTTATCCTCAATTCCTTGATGAAGAAACTTGAGTTTCAGAGATATTAAGTGATGTATCCAAAGAGTTTGTTTACACTTCACAACAAACTATCACCGATTAAGTGACCACTTCAATGTCACCTCTCCTTTGAAAGTTAGTGATCTCTTTATTTTCTACAACTTAAGGTACATTTTACATATTATACAAGTCACTCATTTAAAGTTTAAAATTCTATAATGTTTAGTAAATTTATCGAGTCGAGCAACCATTCCTATAAACCAGTTTTTAAACATTTTTATCTCTCCAGTGAGATCCCTTGTACCCATTTATTAATATCTGTTCCCATATACATGGAGTCAGATATCTCCATAAAATTGACCTTTTTGGATATTTCATATATATGGAGTCATGCTGTATGTAATATCTTGTATCTTGCTTTTTAGTAATCATTTTTGTTATTACTTTTAAGGGAATATACCTTTAAATGTCATTATAATTATCAATATTATAAAAATATAATAATTAATCCTTATATCCCCAGAAATATGAATAATTTCTCCCCAAAGCATTCTAGTTGGCACAAATCTTTATTTTGCTCAAAAAGTTCTGGTAAAGTTAAATAACTTGTCTTAAGAGTAACAAATTATTTTTATTGCTTTCAAACTGGTATTTCCATCCTTTGGTACCTGTTAAGAAAGAGATTAAGTAGCTCCTTTTAAAGATCTCAAAACGTATGAAAACAAACAGTAGTCAAGACAGTATTAATTGTCCCAGGAGACTGTATTGACTGGTATTTTCATAGGCATTGTTTTGTCGGTGGTTTGGAGGGATAACATCCTGTTATGGAAATTTCTCAGTTTTCACAACTGATCCAGGTTCCCATTCTCAATCAAGCCAGTAATTCTTCCTTGACACAAAACACATCCGTTGTAATTACAAATGACTTTTTTCGTACAACAGTCTCATATTTATATTAATGATGATGTCTGTTTGTTATTTGTTGGGAACATTTTTGTTTTATTTTGTTTTGTTCCTATATTTCAGCATCTACGCTAACTGCTGAGTAGTTCCAACTGTGCCTCTTATGTCAAAAGTTGCAAAACTTTTCAGTTCTCCCAGAGTAAATTAAATGAGCAGAAATAAATGCTCACCATTTCCTGGCAATTCTATACAAGGCATCAGAAACTCCAAACTGCAAAATTTAAATGATGCTAAATCTAATACAATAATAAATATGAATATTATTGGAAATAGTAAGCAAAGGTATTTACATTGCAAAATATAGCACATGATCCGAATTTTATTTGCTTTTAAACTTAAGCTGCCATTCCTCAGTTTATAGTAGCAAATTAAATTATGCAATTATAAATTTTGAGCCAATATCAAGCTAGTTTTATTCTCCAAACAAATATTAAACAAGTAATTTGAGAAGATGGCCAGAAATGGTCAATAACAAAGTAGTTTATTGAAGAGTCATTATATCTCTGGAAAATCAAATACAAAAAAATAATAAAGATAAAATGAAACTTAAAAAGCTTATTTTAGTTTTTCATAGTCATGATTGAATTTTTGTCCCCTATGTTTTTATTTGGAGACAATGATTTTATGAGTGACTCAACATTAGTAAAACAGAGAAATATTGAATGTTTTATGATTTCTGTAGTGCTTATATGAGTGCAGTAATCAACAAGTCAATATTTGAAAGCACTTAGAAAAGTATCTGGCACAAAATTGGCATCATTAAGTGTTTGGTAAGTAAGATTGATAAGACTCCCCAAACAAAGTTTTCTTCTCGATTTAACTTTGAAAACTATTTTTGCTTTGACAGTCTTCTGTCCAATCAACTTTTAAAAAATTCCTCTTGATTTATGTAATAGAAAAAATGTAAATAACCTATAGGTATACAATTTGAAAGTTACATTGTTTCTTGTTTCTATGTATGTTTGTGTAACTTAAATATTAGTGACACTAAAGTTAAATGTTAGACTCGTTTGTATAATAAAATCTGACTTAACAGGAATATTTAAAACTGGTTTCACTTCCAAGAAATATGGACAGAATTAGTAAAAGGTCGTTTCCATGGGGATTTCAGGAGACTTTCAAATAGAAAAATTAAAAGAACCTTTACTTGAAGCTTCCATAGACTCATAACTATAAGATTCTCTTTAAATATTACTTGTAAGTAAAGATCCCCTCTTCCCTTAGAAGGAAGTAATTAAGAATATATATCCAAGATATACATCTATAGTAACATGGGCTCTGCACAAGGCATTATTTATTTATACACCATTTATTTCAGAAAAACTCATGCTTTAGAGTTTAACAGATAGGTACTCTAGTTGAGATTCATGTTCTTTCCTTCATTTCCGGCAAGATTTGAGATATTGTGCTTACATTCCTGAATTTATTTTTATTGTGTTAAATATAATGAAACCTGATTAGAGAAAAAAATAGATAAAGGACTGCAAAAAATATTGTGTTAAAAGGGAAGAGTGCCAGAGATTGATTTTTTCTCCTATGTTGTGTTTGTGTGTGTTAATCTCCAGTAGCACAAAGCACAAATCTTCATATGCAGTAAAGAGCTAAACCTTCAAGGAAAGGGAAGATCTTATGACACTACCATCTTTGGTGTGGGATTTACTTAATTTGGCAGACATCTTTATTTCACTAGGCTGAGGAGATTTGTCCTGGGTACGGTCAAGACCTAGCATGTCCTTGGATATTTCATGGGTTCCGGACCAATGTGATTTTTGTCTGGTACATTTGAGCATAGTATTAATTTTAACTTTTTGCTATAATTGGGGTTTTGTATACATATTTCCAACTTATCTTTTTAGAATTTACAAAAGCAATTAGGTGTTGATGGACAAAAAAAGAGCAACAGGACTAAAGTGCTTGCCAACAGAATTGGTCAGAGGGACAGTTCCTGTTAAACGGTTTTCCCTTTCTGCTACTCGTTGAAAGATAATAGTATCTTACCTGAACTGCAATTATAAAAACAGAATTTACATGTGCTTCTGGCAAAGGTTCAAGGGACCAAGTATTTACATTGAGTGGTTTCAAAGGTGCAGCTTTGGACGTAAATGTAAGGAAAGGACTATCCCTCTTACAGGTTATCTGTGTTATTTTATCCACATCTCTTCAGGAATAGACTCCATTCACTAAGATTTCCACCTTTCTGAGTTTAGCCGCCAGTGCTTATTCAGCCTTCCTTCTATTTTATGAGATAACCCAGATCCTTTCTAATACATTTCTAGCACCACCCCTCTAATTGTGAATTACCCCTCTAATTTTGAATTCACTTTTGTTCAGTCAGAATTAGTATGTTCTCGTTATTTGAAATCCAACTATCTTAAAAGGATTTTATAAAATCACTCATAAACCTATGGGTTTTATATGTATAATATAAGGCAATATATATGCAGCCAAAAAGTGCTATAGAAATGGAAGCTATTATTTCTGACTGGGATGGTCAGAGAAACCTTTACAGGAGAGATTAAACCTTTGAAGAAGTGTCTCAAATAAGTTTAAGTCAATAACTAATATTTATTTTTAGTTATTTCATATTATTGTAACACTTTTTCACTTAATTATTCTCAAAAAAATAGTAGGTTTGCAAAATCAGATTTTTTTTCACATCTTAACATTGACAAAATTGCATAGTGGAAGAATATATATTGTAGTCTTTTGTTTTTCCCCATCCCCAATATGTATTATATTTTTAATAAACACTAGGAACTGTGTTCATCTCTTTTTATGTCTTCCAGCAATTCTTTTAATTATAGACTGATTTGTCTCAATATTTAAAATTTATTATTAATTGATAAATTACCCTTGTCTCTACCATGTAGAACATATATTTTTTTTTTTTCTGAAATAGATATCATTGTGGAATTGCTACACAAGCTAATTTTAATGTGGTGATTTACTCCAATTTTTACAAATAACAAATCAGAGTACTAAAGTGACTTGTTTAGGATCATATTAAAAGCAAGTGGTTCAGTTCCAGCAAGGACCCTTCACCTCTGAGTTAGTTCAGTTTCTTTCTTTCATATAGTTTCTTGAAAGAGGATTAGCAGAGTTTTAACAGAAAAAGAGAGATGGAGAATGCTCTTGGGAGGGGCCTGAGACAGGGCAGGTAGAGAAGAGAGAACGACGTTCAGAAGACTATAAGGCAAGTCCAGGTGGGGGTGCTAATGGCTTGACCAGGGCAGAGATTTGTGCAGGAAAGTGGTTAGAGAAACACCTGAAGTGGCAGGCTAGTGTTAAATTACAGTGAGCACAATAACTTTCTTGATGTTTTAGTTGTTTCCAATGTTTTCAAACTGAAATGTGGGAATGTGTTCTTAACTTTATATGAGATTATATAATAGTTTCCTTTAAAGGAGTTAAAATAATTACACTCATTAGGAAGCAATTCAAGATAGCAGGAGAGGGATGTGAACAAAATAGTGATTTCTAGAGATAAATTTTTCAAATTTATTCAAATTTTTATCAAGTATTTATTGAGAGCCAATAATATGTTAGTACCTAGGGTCAACAAAATGAACAAGATATCTTCCCTATTTTCCAGGAATTTATATTTTCAAGGAATGTACATTCTCCCAAGAATTTATGTTGAAACAGAGAAATGTACTAAACAGATAAAGTAGTTATAAAATTATGTATTAAGAATATATTTTTATAACTTGTGGAATGAGAATTTAGCCTATAGTAAAACTTAAAAGCTCAGAGAGTGAATTGTTTTCTTTTTTAAAAGAAGAGGGGTATCTTCAAGACATTCATCAAAATATGAGTGGATATTCAAGCAGTAAAAACATGTTTCATTGCTTTGAGAATTACAGTCTTAGTAGATCACCTATGAGTAGAATGCAGGTCAAGACCTTGAGAACTTCTTGTACAATCATTTGTTAGTGTTTTTCAGTAAGACGAAAAATAGAAATTAACAATTTGACTATTTTCCCACTGTGTACTTATCCATAAGAAGGTCAAATGAAAAGTGTGCTTTAATCTGACATTTTTAGATATTATTGGAAACGATCAAGAACTTAAAGCACGTAGAACATAAACAGGCAAAGCGTATTCTTTCTGGGAGATAAGAAAAGTTTTGCTATGTTTTAAAAATATATTATTCAAAAATTACAGAAAAGCTTGAGTTATAAATAGTAAAATTATTCATATTTTTGAAATCCTTGTTGACAAACCTATATTATTAGTGTATTTGGACACTTCTCTATTCTACAATTTAATTACCAATTTACATTAACAGCTTTTTACTGGATTCTGACCACCCAACATTTTCAAAGTAGAAATCCAAAATTCTGTTTTAGAAAGTACATTCTGCAATTTGCTAGTTTATCTTTCTCAAAAATGATCCATTAATTGCTCAGCTTCCTCTCTATTTTGAATCAATTATAAACAAAACGAAATAAAACATTTCCTCTTAATTTAAGATATCAAAGTCTAGGTGAAATTACCATGAAGAAGTCTTGCAGACTCTGATTTTGGAAAAGTAAAAATTAGCCCTACAGTGATTCATACATTTATTTACTTAACAAACATTGATATTCTGTTCACAATTAGCGTCTTTGCCTGTCCTGTTTTCTGCGTGTCTAATGTTTTGATGCCATTAGAGATATGAAGCATAGCACCATAGTATAGTAAGATGAACTGGGTATCAAAGGGCTAGTGACAGGAATCAGGTAGTATCTTTAAGCCTTAGTGTCTTTGTCTGTACGATAAGGAATTTAGAGTAGAATTTCTAAGATTCTTTGCATAGTTAACATTCTATGAGGACCTTCACAAAACTTTTTTTAATATTATAAGCCTTACAAAATGAGACTGGCAAGTAAGATTTCAATTGATCAATTTTAATGTCAAGAAGGTCATACATATTTGATGTGCCTTTGGTAGCTATCTAAAGTTGTATTATTTTTAATAACTCTATCTCAATAATTTGTTTTATTTTGTTTAAAAACTGCATTCACTACTTGTATTTATATCAGTAAATTAAAACATCATATTTTTTTCTTGAAGACAAAGCACTTTTTCCTTGAAGCATTAGCCTAAGTAACTTCTTATTCTCTTGCTAAGTTTTCTATCTGGAATGATCTTTTGCAGATTGTCAAAATGGCTTTCTCCTTCATTCACTTAGGGCTCCTTTCAGTACTTTCTCATTCATTGTTTCTATCCTTTTTCATTTACATTTTTCAATCTCTTTTCTCATCATGGCACTTATCACTGCCTGACTTTATATTGTACATTTACTTTTTAATTGTATATATTTTTATAACTAATTAGAAAGAAATTTTATCAGTCAGGTTTCTTTACTCGCAGTTAATCCATATCCTTGTTGCCTATATTTACTATGCTATCCAAAGAGGTAGACACTAACCACATGTGACAATTTAAATTTAAAAGTAAAAATAAATGGTATAAGAAAAATATTTCTTCAGTCACACTAGCCACTTTTCAGTGCTTGCTAGTTATGTGCATCTGGGTTTAATGGGCAGTACTAGAGTGACTATCATATAATTGGTGCACAACAAGTAAAACTTAACAAATGAGTAAAAAAAAAAAGAAATCTTAAAAGTTACGGTATGCTTTTCAAATTAAGATTTTTCTCCAAATGTCCATCAATCAATGAGTGAACAAAGAAATTGTGAGATATATATATGTGTTTATATGTGCACATACACATGTAAGTATATATGTATATATGTGTGTGTATATATGTGTGTGTGTGTGTGTGTATGAAGGAATTAATGGCATTCTCAGCAACCTGGATAGGATTGGAGACTATTATTCTAAGTGAAGTAACTTGGGAATGGAAAACCAAACATCGTCTGTTCTCAGTCATAAGTGGGAGCTAAGCTATGAGGATGCAAAGACATAAGAATTAACTTTGGGGACTTAGGGGAAAAGGATGTTGGGAAGTGGGTGAGGGTTAAAAGACTACAAATCAGGTTTGGTGTATACTGCTTGGGCAATAGGTGCACCAAAATCTCACAAATCACCACTAAAGAAATTACTCATGTAACCAAATACCACCTGTTCCCCTAAAACCTATAGAAATTTTTTAAAAAATTAAAGTTATATTACAGCTGCTGGTATAAAAAGGACCTTTCAGTTTTGTTTTTTAAAAATAGAATTATTCACATGCAGTTATAGATATTATAAGAGCGAAAGCATAAAGCCTATTTCTCAGGATTTTATTCACCAGTAAAGTAAAAGTTTTCCAGGGCAAATCACTAGGATAATTTTTTTCTCTTTTCAAATGTGATTTCATTAAAAGAAAATGTACATGTTTTATAGATAAATAACTTACTGAAATTAACAGAAAATTTATATTAGTAAAATAGAATTAGTGTTAATATACAAGATTACATGAGGAATTATACCTCACATGCCAATTAAAAATACCTTTAAGGTTATTTTCTATGATTTAATAAATAACAGCACTGTCAAGATAAAAGTCCCAAAATATGTTTTTTAAAAAATCTTTAATTTGCTTCACATTTTTAGATTCAATAAATATTAGAAAGTGTAGATGATAGAAAGTGACAGGGTTGCATTTGACATAAAATATCTTTTATAATAATAATTGTATAGAACTGCTGATATAGCAAGGTAAGCGACTTGCCATTTCAGTAAACTCAGAAGTCTCACATAGATACACAGAAATTAGCATGATAATCATATGACACAGGTTTTTCCAATTTCTCCTTAAAGCTCTATTAGTCAACTGTAACATATAAATTGTCTTGTTGGTTTTATTGCTGTATATTTCTCATGAAATTTTTACAATTCTATTATACTTTTAAAATTCATTAGGAGGAGTGAGATCTAGTGTTCAGTAGCAACTATAGTCACAATAATTACAGTACAGGGTGACTATAGTTAACAATAATTTATTGTTTATTTCAAAATAACTAAAAGAGTAAAATTGGAATATTCCTATCACAAAAAAATTGTAAATTCTAGAGGTGACGGATATCTCAGTTATCCCATTGGACCATTATACATTGTACACTTGTATCAAAATATCACATGTACCTCATACATGTGTACAACTGTTATGTATCCATAATAATTAAAAATTAAACATTAAAAAATTTCACTTTGTCCTCTGGAGAACACGGGCTTTAAAATCTCTATATTGTGAATATAGTTGCATTTTCTCATCTATATTAAAAATATAAATAAATATGATTTCTAAATTTTATTACAATCAATAATCATAGAACTGTGATAATGTTTGTGATTATGCATATTTAGGTATAGAGTTGTATAAAATGTAGGATGCAGTTTAATAAGAGCATTAGTTGATCAGTTGTATTTTAGAAAAATAGCGTTTTACAGCTGTTAAAGATGTTGGAAAGTCTTCTACCGGAAATAGAAACTGTCTCTAAGGAAACCCACTATCTAATCCTCTCAGGTTATAACAAGCCATACTATATAAATCAAATCCATTCGCGGACACTTTGGTGCACATTTCTATACTCTGCCTTTCCTCTATCCCTAGAGGTTCAACAAGACTTGGGGAAAGACAGTTATGATTGTTTTCAGTTACTGAAGAAAGAGGCTTTTATATTTACTAGGAGGATCAGAGAGGCATCCTGCAACCTGGAGAGCTCCCTTGGCTCCAAGTTTTAAGTCGTTGGGTGTGTTTGTTCTTTTGTTTGTGTTTCAGGGCGTTGTGGAACAGCATGACCATCATGTTCAGCTTTGATGCCTGTGGGGGATAGGTTAGATATAAAACACAGTACAGAGAAAGACTTGCTGCATTTTTATTGAAAAGTTTAGAGGAAAAATGTGAAATTGTTTGCGTCCACATAAATGGAAAGAAATAAACCAACAAAATACTTGTAAGTTGCTGTTAAAGTTAATGATAGCTCCCTCTCTTTAAAGACTCATTGAAAATGGCCTTGATATTTCTGTTTTTGCTTTATAATACTGTCTTTTGTGCAGATGTTAACAGCTGAGCCTTATAAAGCCCATGAATTTTCCATGTCTGAAACTTAATGGTCAGTTAATGTGTATATTTATTTTGAGGGTATAGCAGAACAATATGTTAAAAAATAAACATTAGTATATATAATGAATTACACATTAATTCATTAGATGCAAAAGAGAATGGGATATGTAATAATGGGATATGTAATATTATTATGCAGCTGATTTTTTACCAGTGGAAAATAATTTTCCCTTTCCTCCTTACTTTAATCATCCTAGTCCTTTCCTCTTGCGGTAGATCATTAAACATTAACTAATTCTATTTAAGGACTTGCTACTCAAAATGCAGTCTACTCATGAACCAGAAGCATTTGCATTACCTGGGTGCTTGTTAGAAATGCAAAATCCCCACACCTACTGAATCAGAATCTGCATTTTAACAAGATTTCCAGATGATTATGATGTACTTTAAAGTTTAAGAAGTAGTTCTTTATTATAGTATGGATTATATTGCTGTAGACATTTCCTCATCCCCCTACATACATTTTTGGTTCCTGAAATGAAATTGTGCTTTTCTAGTATATAAAACAATCAACTCACGAGTTTTCAACTTTAGAATCACTCAACATATTCAAGGGTGAATCAATACAAATTATTTTCAGATTATCCTTATCCTTTAAGATTGTATCTTTAATAAAAGTATATACTCTTATGATTCAAAAGAGAATGGGATATGTAATTCTTCCCAACAGCTGATTGTTTCATATTTATTGGTAACCTCTTTGTATTTATATATGTAAATATTTTACACCAGAACAAGTTTTCACTTTTAAAGGATCTTAAATGCTTATTAAAGATACTTGCAGGGCCAGGCATGGTGGTTCATGCCTGTAATCCCAGGACTTTGGGAGGCCGAGGCTGGCGAATCACCTGAGGTCGGGAGTTTGAGACCAGCCTGACCAACATGGAGAAACCCCGTCTCTACTAAAAATACAAAATTAGCCGGGCGTTGTGGCGCATGCTTGTAATCCCAGCTACTCGGGAGGCTGAGGCAGGGGAATCACTTGAACCCAGGAGGTGTACGTTACCATGAGCTGAGATTGTGCTATTACACTCCAGCCTGAGCAACAAGAGTGGAACTCCATCTCAAAACAAAAACAAAAACAAAAACACAGGTATCTTCCATACATTTAACTATTTTTAATTCCAGAAAATAATTTGGAAAGGAATTCCATTTAAACTTGTGCATCAAAAGATGTATCATTAAAGACAAAAATAATGTATTGAGTAAACATTTCTTTTTAACTTAACCAATTAACTTATTTTTGGATCATACATTTTTTAACCCAACAGTAGAGAAGCATTGGATTTTGAATGTAAAATATAGTATTAAATAGAGATTTTCAAAATGTCATCAAATTCTTCTTAGGAAATCTATTATGTATATTACTCAAAGTAACTTATAGCCCTATATTTTAAAATTTCTTACATGTAGCTACTTGTTACAGCATAGTACAATATTAATGTATTTTATTAAATTCTGTGCAAAGAAAAATAGCATAATTTTGAAGTTGCTATTTTATATTCCTCATATACAGTTGTTGATGATTTTTTCACTACTCTTCACTAAACAAATAAAATGAAAGAATACCTAAAACTAAGCAATGAGAGTAAAAATCTACATTACAGAAATATTGTTAAAGAAAGTGTAACATGAGAATGTAAAAAAACATAATATCCTTGATGGTGATGATGTTTTCTTTCCTTCTTTTCTAATGGACTACACACAATATATTTATTTTAATTGCCAGGCTCTCTAGTAGATCAAATATTAGTGTAACATTCACTCACTGCTCTCCAGGGCATTGCTAGGTATAGGAGTTACATGAATGGTGGGCAAGCAATTGCCATCGAAGGTAGTATGTGACAAGTCTTGCCTATGTAGTATGGACATTCTGTGAAAGGAGCTATTGCAGTCAACAGAAAGGACCAAAAAGGGATGTATTAAGATGAGGTTTGAAGGATGAATAACCTTTTGACAGGTCAGAAAAGGTCACTCCTCGCAAATAGAAAATAGTGAAAAATTGCACTATTTATAGAATTTTTGGTATTATTTGCTAAAATCCAATATATCAATACCCCTCACCCTGCCCTTAGGGTTTTATTTGTTGGTTTGTTTTAGACGGGGTCTCACTTTTTCACCCAGGCTGGAGTGCAGTGGTGCGATCTCAGCTCACTGCAGCCCCAGCCTCCTGAGTTCAAGCAATCCTCCTGCTTCAACCCCCCAAGTAGCCAGGACCACAGATGTGTGCCTCTAAGCCCCACTAATTTTTGTTATTGTTTATAAAGATGGAATTTCACCACATTGCCCTGACTGGTCTTGAATTTCTGAGCTCAAGGAGACTGCCCACCTTAGCCTCCCAAAGTTCTGTGATTACAATCATGAGTCACCAATGCCTGGACCCTATCCTTAGTTTTTAACCTGGACCTCCATAAATTCACAGAGATCTGAATGTGGATCTAGTAAGACTAGCACATGGACAAAAGGCAAACATGGTTCAGAATTAGCACAGAATTTGTGGTATGAAAAGGAACTGAACTCCTTTTATTTTATTATAACCTTCACCTTCACAAATTTTGTTGTTAAAGAAGCTGTATGCCTTAATTTCCAGTTTTGTTCTCTGTGTCATTTGATGGAATGGTTCAGACACCAAGCATCTGAAGGAAGTTATAACCTAAACTTTTACTAATCAGGTGGTTGTGAAGTAAAGACTAAGGAAAGAGACACTATTCTCTTTATTTTTTGGGCATGAAACAGAAAATTTATACCACAAACACTAGATGTTTTAAAAGACGCAAATGCAACATTCAGGATACTAGTTTTCTCATAAACATATGCGTAAGAGAAGAATCAATGAATGCATCATAGAATGATTTGCAAATATGTCTGAAAAGCTACTGCAAATCTGCATCTTAATATGCTTAGTGTTCCATTATTGGAATGCCACTTAACTCACCAATGGAACATAATAAAAATATTTTTCTTTTCAAATTCTTGTTCCTTGAATTTTTCTAGGTAACATATGTGAATTTCATGCAAAAATTCAAAACATTGCAACCTCAGGCATAAATAGGTTAAATCTTATTTTCTAATCATTGACACAGTGTTATTTTTCCAAATTTTCATAAATAACTATTTTAAAACATAACAGTGATCTTTCATTATAAAAGTAAAAAATGTCAGCATTGCTTAAACACCATTGGTCCTTCACCTTAAACATCATTCATCATATCTTACTTGGTTTTTTGGTTTTGACTTAAAAAAAAAGTGTCTAATATACAAAAGTGTTGTAATTAAACTGACTGTCTTTATTCACATTTTTCTGAGGTACTCTGCTTTAACCATATCTCAAAGACCCAAGAGAAACATAATAAAAATAGCAGCTGAGATATTTGTAGTTACAGATAAATTTGGAGTCATAGTTTGAAGTTATAGATTCAAAAGAAAAGACAGGAAGCAGACTGTAAATGCAGGAACTTGAAAGAGAGCCAGTTCATAGCAGACTTTTTCAAAAATATATTTACCTACACTACCCCAAATTCCACTTCACATGCTTAATTTTGTGTTTTTTTTTTTTTTTTTTTTTTTTTTTTTTTTTTTTTTTTTTTTTTCCTTAATAGTTAGGAGTCCAGGGTTGGACGTGGTAGAAATAGATTTGATTCCTGACAGTTGCTTACTTTCTAGTTTGGGGCAAAACTTTAGGCTCTCTGCTCCTTAGTTTTTGCAGTGTTTGGTGGTGAAGTTCAAAAGTACTTAAAGTGCCAGGCATAAAATGATAGCAATTATTATGATTATCTTATTATCATTGATAATGGTTATAGTAATAGTAACAGTCATAGAAATCCTTACAATCTATAGATTAATTAATTATAATTTATTCCTCCCAACACCTAGCTAAGAAAACTGCACTGAGAAAATAGGGCCATTCTTGTTCATTTTCCTTTTTCAGGAGATTGAAAAGATAGTAATTTTAGAATTTAGATCCTTCCTACATTGATCCTTCCAACATTCCATGGAAATTAGGAATAGTATTGAGGAGTTTGTGGCATAATGAGAACACTTGAGGACAGGCAGAGTGGCACGTAAAGGAAGAGGGTACCCCAGAATAAATTTTATCCATCTCATAATTTTTCCAGGAAGAATTAGTAAACACTATTCTACTTCCTTCAGCCAATGGCTTCTTAGTCTAGGTGGTAACAATTTACTGTCAGTGTAAATTTTTCAACAGAGATCAGTTGATTTAATCAGTACAGATTTATATTGCATCCTGAGTGGGAAGAAAAGTGACTTACAGTTTTCAGAAAAGTGACTTAATCTGACCTATGATTTCCTTTTTTTTTTTTTTTAATTTTTAGAGAACATTTTGATTACTATGTGTGGAACTGATTTTCGTGAGGAAAGAGTGAAACAACAGTACATATAATGATAGTTTGGACTAAGATATAGCTAAAAGGTGGTAAAGAATGGTGAGATTTTGGATATGTACTGCATACGTATTACAGCCCATATGGCCTGTTCACAGATTAGATGTTGAGGTATGAAGGAAAGAGAAGATTTGTGTCTAACCTCTCAACTCCATGTTTTTTCACTTTAATGACAGGGGAAATAGGGAAATTTAGGTCTGGAATATATTCAGGTGAAAAACTGACGGTCGTGTTTTAGGTAGAATGATTAAAATGCCTACTAGACACCTAAATAGAAATCTTGTGAAGGTAGTTTAATTTATGAGTCCTGAGAAAGAGTTTGTATCAGGACATACATGTTTGAGAGCCATCACTGTGTTGTTTAAATGCCCTGAAACATGAAACTGATGTTGGTAGCAAGTGAAAGAAGAGATCCAGGGGCAGAGCCTTGAGCCATACCCACATTCACAGGCAAGAGGAGAGGAACTACCAAAGTACACAAAGGACTGGTCAATCAGGCAAAGGCCAAACTGGGGGGACTGTAGTGTCCTAGAAATTAAGTGAAGAAAATGTTGATGAAAAGAAGGTGATTTGCTATTTAAATGCTGCTGAGGAGGCACGAGGGTGTTAGAAGACAGAGAATAAACCATTGGAAGATAGGTAATGCTTGTATCTTGAGAAGAAT